TTTGTTTTTAAACTCCCATTTATTGGTGGTGGAGTCCCTATGGGGCACAAACAATTAAGTACTTAACTATTAGCCAAAAGGTTGGTGGTCTCAGTCCACCCAGAGGCACCTTGGGAGAAAAAACCCTGGAGATCCACTTCTTAAAGTCCTTACTTTGAAAACCTGGCAGAACGCAATTCTTCTTTGACATACATAAGGTCATGATGCATCAGAAGTGATTCAACACAATGTTTAGTGATGACAGTTGAGGACTGTCTCTTGCATGCTATGATATCAAAGAAAGTTTTTTCTGGTGGTGACCTGAAGAATGAGTGGAAGCTAGCCAGGGACAGCAGGAGGTAGAAGAAGCATCTGAGCCAGAGTAAGGCACCATGGGATATTCCTAAGTTACGAGGGACAAGTGGCAAGCTGCCATGGTAATGAGTGAGGTAGACGGAGCAAGTACAATGATGCCAAGTGTCTAAGAATGGCCCACTGCTTGGAGACAGGCAGAATTTGGTGCCCAAGACCCCCCGTCTTGGGACTAGTCTAGACTACCAAGCTAGGGCCAAAGGCTTGTAACATTGATTCATAGGCCCTAGACATGGTGGGCCTGATCCAAGTCAACCCCACAGATTTCTGTAAATAACAAGGGTGACCTCAGTGGCTTCACCTAACTCAGGAAAGTTATGACCTTGCAAGACAAGCAACAGCATCACTATACACTGGGGTTGCTTGGTTTAAAGCTGCTTTCCTCCTAATGCTCAATAGTGCGAACAATCACCATAAGCAGGCCAAGACGGAAGGCACGTCCAGAGACTATGGAGCAAGGTCTACTCAGTACTAAAAAGCAAGCTAGCACTCCAAACCCTAAAATGAGCATTTTTGTGAGAATAGCTGTTTTCTATATAATTGTAGGAGTTCTGGTGTGGTGCTGTATGATAAGCACTGAACTATTAACCAAACACAAGGTCAGCAGTTCAAACCCACCAGTTGCTCCTTGGAAACCCTATATCAGGTTGCTATGAGTTGGGACCAACTCGACTCACTTAACAAAAACAACAAAGTATAATTACAAATTAAACTGAAGAGTGCTCATGCATTCACCTATGCCTACCAATTGTCGTTGAGTAGGACAGAGTAGAACTGTCCTATAGGGCTCCTAAGAATGCACATCTTTATGGAAACAAACAACTTCATCTTTCTCTCTTGGAATGGCTGTGGGTTTGAATCACTGACCTTTAACTTAGCAGCTGATCACATACTCACTGCTCCAGCAGGGCTCCCTTACAACCTAGTCGTAAATGTTAGTGAGCATCTAATATGTGCCTGTTACCCTGGCAGGCACTGGAGACATAAAGGAAAAGCACAGTCCCCACCCTTGAAAACCCATCAATCATTAGGCGAAGGGGCATTATAAAATCCAAATTAATACAGTATCAACAATGCAGTGGTTCTGTCTGATAACCAATGGACTGTGAACCACAAGGCCAGCAGTTCAAGCCCATCAGCCATCTGAGGGAGAAAGCTGAGGTTTTCTACTCTGGCAAAGATGTACAGACGAGAAATCGTATATAGGGTCACTATGAGTTGGAACCAACTTGGCGTCACTTAACAACAAAATGAATTCTGCCAATATGCTTTGGAGAAGATTGCAAAGATGAATTAGCTAGGGAAGAAAGGGTGACAACATTCCAGGCAGAGGGACAGAGAAAAAAGGACAAGGACTACTCACAGGATACGGAGTTAGCATGACTGCCTGTGGTTGTTTATGTTGTTAACTTGCCTTCAAGCCAGCCCCCAACTCATCAAGACCTCATGTACAATGGTTTCATTGTGGCTTGGACTGTTGTGATCCAGAGGGTTTGCAATGCCTGATTTTCAGAAGTAGATCACCAGGTCTTTCTTTCTAGTCTGCCTTAGTCTGGTAACCCCATTGAGATCTGTTCAGCATCACTGTAATACACAAGCCTCCACTGACAGATGGCTGGTGGTTTTGTGTTGCAGACCGTGTAAGACTAGTCAGAGGTTCGAGGCCCTCTAGGGCTGAGTGTAACAAATGAGGCCACTGGCAGTTAATGGAAAATTGCTTTCATCTTAATATT